TGTTTTTAATCTGAAGTTTCAGCTTCATGCATAGACATCCTGCATTTCTATGCAGTTGGCAGAAGGTGAGCAAAATAGGACTTTTTGAAATCCTGTACGTTTGAGCTGCATTTATTTATATTCTGGGCTCGAAGTGCGAAGCTGTCACATTAAAAAAACAACAGTTATAGCAGTGACAGCAGCTCAGAGAACGGGAAAGGAAGCGACGGTGACAAAGTGACAAATACATCTAAGAGAATATCAACATTTACACCAGAAGTCAAAGGTGAAGAGCTTTCATAAAGGCTCTGCCAGCCATGCCTCGAAATGATTTATTTTGAAACGCTTGACCATGAGATGTTCGCAGAGATGGGAAGAGAATTTACTGCAACAGCTGCAAAGTCTATAACAGATGTGACAAGATCACATTTCAAGTAACTACATTTAAAAATATAACATAAATAATTCACCAAATGACCTGAATAATTATCTTAATTTCCTAGAAACTCTTGTTTGGCTTATTACACACATAATGAAAATTCTGATAAAGTAGAGAAAGTCACAATATTTGAATTTGCTGTTTAACACTCTCAATACCAACAATAATACACTACAGAGAGCCTGTGCAACCAACAAGATTCATTTCACTTAAATGTCCTTTATTTGTCTGTCTCTGTTTCCAAGGATACCATTACCCAAAAAGTGCTGCCAAACTATGTAAATGTTGTAAAAACAAAACAAAACTCTGTTATCATATCTGTATTGCGATGTGTATAAATATGAAAACAACAATACTTGAATTCATACAAACAGTAGCACAGAAGTGATGATGTGAAACCACCTGACAAAGTTCACTGCTTTCGCTAATGATATTGGACTTTATGTGATTTTATAATTAACCCTGGAGAACCACACAGACACATGCATCACTGTAATTACTGAAAAAAGCCACAAGCAACTGACACAGCGTCGAGACCTTCTCAGCCTTAGAAACCACATTGTGAAAATTTAGCAAAATAAGACAGCAAAACAAACAAAGGCATCCAATTATTTGGTATTTTCTTGACATCAGAGCTCAACAGTGAGACGTTTGACATGATTTCTGACATCAAAATGCGCTTTTGTTTTGACTGTATTATTCTAACAGGATTTAACTGTGCAGTTTGTCAGCCTATTATCTCGTTCTGTACAGCCCGTAATGACATGCTGTTGCTTACCAAATGTATACCGTTGCATAAGCAACGTCTGCATTAGCAATTCATAACACAAGTCAGCATGAAGTTGTCAACAGCTCAAAACGTCTCTGTGGGAAGCCGTGTGTGTGTGTGTGTGTGTGTGTGTGTGTGTCTCCTGTGCCTGTTGACTCATCCATCTTATCCGTGAAGCTCTGTTGGTGATTAAGGTGTTTAGGAGTTTGCTTTTTGTGTTCACACCGTCAGAACAAACACAGTGAGAAGCATCGTGTATTTATTTTACCATTTGTTCTTCTAATTAGGGCTGGGCGATATGGCCTAAAATTCATATCGCGATATAATTTGAAGCATGTGCGGTAACGATATATATCCAGGTTCTGTATGAGTGATTTCCTTATTTAGCAGTAACAAAGCCTTGGTGTGGTGCAATTACAGTCATCGTAAAAAACGTGTGATTAATCACATG